AAAAAAAAACCAAAAAAAAAAAAAAAAAAAAAAAACAGCAAAACAAAAACCCTAAAATAAAAGCATCACAGAAGACTTTGTCTGTTGTCTGATTTGTTTCTTCCCAGTGTCTATTGGATGTTTGTTCTGGAGTTCCTCTTAGCATACTCTTACCAACATTGCATTTATTTGCTTGCTGAAGTTGAGTATTATTAGTCAGTGGTAGCTTGCTTAGAGCTGGAGGCATCCATTGTCCTTTACTACAAGTCCCCAAACCAATATCCAGAATCTCCAAAGTATGCACCTTGTTTTAGTGTGGATATGATACCACAGATAGAAAAATCCACCTGAACTGCTGGGGCAGATTTCATTCCAACACAAAGTAATAATACTACATAAGATTACTTTGGGGTTATTGACATAATTTCTGTATTGTAATTTTCCTCAGATGTTGAGTTTGTCTTGTGAAAATTCCACTTTTTGATGTTTTGATCCTTAACTTAGAAGTTAACAGTCTGCAAACATTTGCTATTCCAGGCTCCATTTTCCTCAGCATACTCTCGGGGTTCCTTTACCCATTCCCACTAGCCTTATTCCTTGTTTGTTTGGTAAGTATGGGCAATGAATTGGGGTGAGGGTGATAATGGCATCCTAGCCACACCAGTCTGTCTCATTCATCAATTTTCAAGGAGTTATTGTTAGTTAACTTGTTAATTAACAGGAATGTGGTTCCTGTTAAGTCTCTCATGAGGAACTGTTAAGAGATTTTTTTTTTTTGCCAGGCAATGGTGGTCCACGCCTTTAATCCCAGCATTCAGGAGGCAGATGCAGGTGGATCTCTGAGTTCAAGATCAGCCCGGTCTAGGTCTACAAGAGCTAGTTCTAGGACAGGCTCCAAAGCTACAGAGAAGGGGGCTGGAGAGATGGCTCAGTGGTTAAGAGCATTGCTTGCTCTTTCAAAGGTCCTGAGTTCAATTCCTAGCAACCACATGGCGGCTCACAACCATCTGTCATGGGGTCTGGTACCCTCTTCTGGCCTGCAGGCATACACACAGACAGAATATTGTATACACAATAAATAAATATTAAAAAAAAAAAAGCTACAGAGAAACCCTATCTCAGAAAACCAACAACAAAAAAGATTTTGGTTTTCTTAGAATGGGATACTATAGACTTGCTTGTAATTACATAGCCTTTTGTTCCTGTTTTTTGCAGTTCATATGGAAGTGTCTTTATGCATAGGTATAGGGGAGTATGGGAAGGGCTACTTATTCTTTTGTTTTTTGAGACAGGATTTCTCTGAGTAACAGCCCTCCTATCCTGGGATTTGCTTTGCAGACTAGGCTGGCCTGAGATTCACGGGGATCTGCCTGCCTCTGCCTCCTGAATGGAATGCTGTGCCACCACACCGTCTAAGGCTCCTTTTTTTTTTTTTTTTTTTTTTTTTTTTTTTTTTTTTTTTTTTTTTTTTTTTTTTTTTTTTTTTTTTTTTTTTTTTTTTTTTTTTTTTGTTGTTTNTTTTTTTTTTTTTTGGTGACAGGGTTTCTCTGTGGCTTTGGAGCCTGTCCTGGAACTAGCTCTGTAGACCAGGCTGGTCTCGAACTCACAGAGATCCGCCTGCCTCTGCCTCCCAAGTGCTGGGATTAAAGGCATGCGCCACCATTGCCCAGCTAAGGCTCCTTATTCTTAAACTGAACAGTAATTACTGAATATGGTCACAAAGTTTCATTGCAAGTACCAATTTATTTTATCTGATCTCGTTTTTAGTTAGAGTTTGAGAAAGGACTAGATCAAATGGGTTCTTCTGTTCTCTAAATAAGAGATGTTATTTAGACTGTTCTGCCTGGCCCTGAGAGAGGTCAACTAAGTAAATACATCTGCAGGAATGAGATGGGAGGATACAGAGTGCATTTTGTTTGTTTGTTTTCCAGTGTTCTGGACTTGGTGCCTCCTTCTGCTACATGCTCTCCTATTTAGTTGGAAGACCTGTTGTATACAAATACCTGACAGAGAAGGCAGTAAAATGGTCACAGCAGGTAGGCATGTATTTTTGGTTTTGTTTCTTTTTGATTTTTTGGTTTTGTCATCATATTTTTGTTCTTTGAGAATTTCATCCAGTGTATTTTGATTATATTCACACATGCCTAATTTCTCATGTAGCCCTGGAGGGCCTAGATCTCAGTTTGTAGACCAGGCTAGCCTCAGATTCACCTTTAATATCTGCCCTCGTCTGCTTCTAGATAAGTTTATTATAAAGCATGTTACGGTTAGCTTAAGTTGTTGACTTGACACAGAGTAAATTAACTTGGGAAGAGAAGTCAGTGAGGAATTGTCTAGACTGGATTAGCCTGCGGGATTTTCTTAGTTGAGTTATTTGAGATGGGAAGACCACCCTGTCTTGTTCCTCTGACGGCTGGCTCACATCTCTCCTGACTGCTCTTCTTCCTCACTGTATTTTCAGTTTGACTTTCCCACCTAGCCTTATTCTGCCTTGCTATAGGCTATATCAGCTTTATTATCAACCAGTGAGAATAATATATATTCACAACATACAGGATTATCCCCAATACTCCTATGTCTCCAACTTTATTTATTTTTGTTTTGTTTTATTTGCTTGCTTGTTTTGTGAAATCAGTTAGCAGAAGTCAATGTCAGTATGAAAGCATTCCAAAATTAGGTGCTTCATGTTTTGTGTGAATGTAGCATATTGTCAGTGGTAACTGAAAAACCTTAAGCTTATTGCTCTTAGGCATTTTAGTAGGAAAAATTCTGTTTTCAATCAGGATCTCTGAAAAGACTAACAATGATTAATATGCTGTACACAGAAAAAAGCTGCCATAATCTTTGTGGTGTATTAGACCCTCTGTTGTGACAAATGCTGGTTCAGTTTTTAGTCTCTATCTCTGTTAATTCTAGGCCAGTGGTGGGACAAGGCATTAGACAGAGGAAGTTTGTTCAGTGTCCCTTCACCTTGTGGCAGACAGGAACACAATAGAGGATCCTGGATGGAACCCTATTCAACCAGGGTGTGGTGGCATTTCATCCCAAGCACTCTCTGAGTTTGAGGCTAGCCTGGTCTATCTACATAGTGAGTTCCAGGACCTCCAGGACTACACAGAGAAACCCTGTCTTTAAAAAAAAATTAATGAACAAAAGAAGAACGCCCTTCAAGTATCCTGGTTCCTCCAGCTAGGCACCACCATCCAGTTTCCATAAACTTTGATAGTTCCACAAGCTAGAGACAGTTGATAGGGGACATGTTACTTTTAAATCACAAGCAGGAGGAGAACTCTATTTTTATACAAAGATCAGAAGAAATAATTGCATTTCATAGGAAGTAGAGAGATCATCCTTCTTCAGCCTCTTGTTTTAGATAACAAATGAAAGTTTTATATTTTACTTTTAAATTGTGATCACATGTTTGTAAAACATCTGAAATCTAATGGCTAGACTTTTAGTTTACACTTTAAATTTAGTTACTTTTTATTATACATGTACCGATTATGAATTTTACATATATATTTTTATTTAGAATAGCTGTTTTTATAAGTGATATTACTAGTTATATAGGAATATAAGTAATTATTTATAGTTAATGAAAATGTTTTGTTTATTTAAGTCATGTGGTGTAATACCATAAGATAAAGATTATGTGAATTTTTAAAAAATTAAACTGGAGGCTAGCATGAATGAGTTCCTAGGATCACCCATAATTGTAAAAACTAAAATAAGGGCTGGTAAGATGCCTCAGTCTATAAGGTCATGGCCCAAAAGCCTAACAACTGAGTTTGATCCCTGGAACCCATGTAAAGGTGAAAGGAATTTTTTTTTTTTAACCTGTTCATGTCTGTGTTTTTCTGGGTATTTAACCCTGGGCTTTACACATGGTAGGCAGATGCTGTATACACATTGTTTTTGTTGGGTAAACGGAGATGTATCAGGGATGAGAATTTAAGGTATTTTATATTAGCAGTTTACTTTCATTATTGGTTTTAACTTACACTGGTTCTTTTCTTACAACAGGTAGAGCGTCATAGAGAACATCTCATTAACTACATTATCTTTTTGAGAATCACACCATTTCTGCCTAATTGGTTTATTAATATAACATCTCCTGTGATAAATGTGCCATTGAAAGTATTTTTTATTGGCACTTTTCTAGGTAAGACCTCTGGTTCACACTGTGACAGCTCATCGTGTGCATGTCCAGCTGGCCTAGATCATCTGCTGTGTGCAAAATCACCAGTATCATATATAACTCAAACACAAACCTGGCCTAGAACAACAGCTTTTTCAGTGTGTTGTAATGTGTTACGTCTGTAAAGAATGAGCACTTTCTATTATGTGTTACTTTAATAACCTAAGATTAAGCAGAACCCTCACCACCTCTTTTTTTTGTATCCTTTTTTGTTTGTTTTATTTTGTTTTGGTGATATTAGGGCTTAAACCTGGGAATGTTTTATTTCCACCCCAACTCTGGCCCATTGGCCCTTTCTTCCTTTGCCAGCTGGAGTCAGTTAGATCAGAGATCACAGGTTCTTGGGGCCACAAACTCTACTGGCTGAGAACTCTTTTCATGAGCCTGGACTGCATGTTGAGCATCTCAGGCTCCAGGTGCCCTCTGGCCTTCCAAAGACAGCTTTTTCTTAGTACTTTTCGGCTGCACAAACTTCACTGCGTCCCCAGCCTGAACTTTTCTTTTTGGTTTTTTGAGACAGTTTTGCTGTAGTTTTAGAGTCTGTTCTGGAACTAGCTCTTGTAGACCAGGCTGGCCTCAAACTCACAGAGATCTGCCTGCCTCTGCCTCATGAGTGCTGGGATTCAAGGTGTGTACCACCACCGCCCGGCTCCTTCCTTCCTTCCTTCCTTCCTTCCTTCCTTCCTTCCTTCCTTCCTTCCTTCCTTCCTTCCTTCCTTCCTTTCTTTTTTTGGTTTTCTAGATTTCCAGACAGGTTTTCTCTGTATAACAGTCCTGGCTGCTGGCTGTCTTGCAACTCCCCTCCCTCCGGATCAGTGGCTCAGGCTGGCTGTGAACGCAGAGATACACCTGCCTTTGCCTCCAGAGTGCTGGGATTAAAGACATGCACCTTCACCACCTGAATTTTTTTTTTTTAAACTCCACTGTCTCTCTCAGTAGATAGAAACATTTAGTTTCTGTTTTTGAACTGTTTTTCCTTTGTATTTTAGTCAAATATTGAAATCCAATTTATTGTGGATATCACCAGAAGTCTAGGAAAAGCGAGATAATAGACATCAAGAATTGATACCAAATTTTGAAGTTAATAAGTGGACACAATAATTTATTAGAGGAGTTGAGTGCTTGCCTAACTACCGTACACAAGGGCAAAACCTTAATTTTGAGAATTCCGCCTTTATTTAGAAAGACTGTTGCTTTTATTTGCAGTTTAAATTGCTTGGATTCTGCATGTGTGGATTTCATGTATTGAATATTTGCTAAAGTTGATATACGAGTTCTGATTTTTTTTTTAATTATGTGTCTGAGTGAGACACATATGAGTGAGAAAATATGTGTGTGAGTGTAGGTGCCTGTGGAGATCAGAAGCATCGGCTATCACTGGAGCTGGAGTTCTAGGTGTTTGTGAACCACCAACATAGGTGTTGGGAATTGACCCGTGACCTTCTGCAAGAGCAGCAAGCATTCTTAACCACTAAGCAATCTTTCCAGAATTTACTTCATATTATAAACTGCTGTGTCTACTTAGACTTTGAGTATCTTCCCTCCTTCTACTGTTTTTTTTGTTTTGTTTTGTTTTGTGTGTGTTGATTTGGAGGTAGAGCTTGAACCCAGGACCTTTTGAATACTTGGATGGCATTCTATCACTGAGTTACATTTCTAACCCTTACCATTTTAATTTTAAAGTCTGTTTTACACACTATATTCAGCCTAGTTTCTGTGGGGGTTTGGGGAGTACTGGCAGTATGTGGGCTTGAACCTAGGGCTTCATGCATGCTAGGCAAACATTGCCATTGAATTAGCTTCCTAGCCCGCCCACCTTTTTTTCACTTTTTACTTTCAGACAACGCGTAGGCAAAGCTTGGTCTCTAAAGATTTTCCTGCCTCACCTCCCTAGTAGTAGTTGGAATTACGGGACTCACTGACTTTAAAACTTACTAAAGTTGTGAAGTTATTCTCTAGATGACATTGCTTTTTTTGTTTTCATTTGCCTTCTCAAGTTTCCTGGCTTGCAAAAATTTCATTATCCTGCGTCTGGAGAGATAACTCAGGAGTTAAGAGCACTGGCTGCTCTTCAAAGGTTCTGATCCCAAAGGTCACTTCCCAGCATCCACATGGGCAACCATCTCTAATGAGATCCGATGCCTTCTTCTGTCCTGCAGGCATTTGAAGGCGAACACCATATGCATAATAAATAAATAAGTCTTCAAAAAAATGTTTTTCATAATCCTTAGGAGGTGACTGAAAAACTGAATTTCTTTTAGGGGTCTACACTTATGGAGCTTGAAGTTTTCTACCCACTGAGCTAGCTCTTCTTGTACTTTGGAATATTAAACTCTCTATGAAAAGGCATACTTGTAAAACTGAGTGAACAGCTGGGAGAGATTTGATGTTGAGCATATAACAAAAGATTTTATTTTACTAGCACAGGGCTGTTAGGACTGGGTGAGCCATCTAGGAACATCAAGAAAAAGGAATACCTGAAATTAATTTTATTTCCATGTTATACTTGAGTCTGTGTCAGATAATTTTATCATTTCAAAATGTAATCCAATGATAATTTGACAATCTGCTGGTGTGTGCTGGGATTGATCCAGAGCCTCCTGTATGCTAAATACCTGCATTAACTTCTTTTTTTTTAAACCTTTTGATTTATTTTTATTTTATGTGTATGAGGTTTTTTTTTAAGATTTATTTATTTATTATGTACACAGTGTTCAGCCTCCATGTATGCCTGCAGGCCAGAAGAGGGCACCAGATCTCATTACAGATGGTGTGAGCCACCATGTGGGTTGCTGGGAATTGAACTCAGGACCTCCAGAAGAGCGGTCAGTGCTCTTAACCTCTGAGCCATCTCTCCAGCCCCCTGCATTAACTTCTTAATCCTTTATTTACAATACAAATGGCTGTGTTCCTAAAAGACTATATGTACATAGAATTTTAACTTTTAAAATATGATTGGGAATTCTGGAGTGATGGCTCAGTGGTTAAGAGTACTTATAGAGGACCTAGGTTCAGTTCCCAGTACCTATATGGAGGCTTATACCCGGCTTGTGTTATTCTTGTTCTAGGAATCTGATGCCACCTTCTGGCCTCTGTGGGCATGCCTGCACATAGTGCACTTACATACATGTGAACAAAACATGCATACATGTGAAAAATATGAAAAATGGTGGTTGTTACTTTTATTTGATTGCCATTGCCACTCACTGTTTTTTTGTTTTTTGTTTTTTTTAGGTGTTGCACCTCCCTCTTTTGTAGCAATTAAGGCAGGAACAACTCTATATCAGCTTACGACAGCAGGGGAAGCTGTTTCCTGGAACTCAGTATTTATTCTGATGATTTTGGCTCTTCTTTCTATTCTGCCAGCCATCTTCCAAAAAAAACTAAAACAGAAATTTGAGTAAAAATCGTGGGTTTTTGTTTATCACTACCACCACCAACGTCACTACCATCACCACCATCTCAGGAATAACAGGTGTATCCATTTTATGTTTTGAAATCAGCTCTTCAGTAACTGAAAGAAGGATTTGTAAAGTAAACTGTCCTACAAAGATTGTCAGACTATGAGAAGTGCTGTCATCAGATTTGTAGGTGTAACCTAAACATCACTGTTCCAAGAGTAGCTGAGATAGCATCCGTGTGCCCTTGTCTTGGGATTCTTATTCGAAATGAATCATTGAATTGAATGTTTTTTTTTCTTTTCTGTCTGACTAATAACTAAAGTAGTGAACTCGGGTACAGTGGCACATACGTGTAATCCCAACTGCTGAGGAGACTAAGGCCAGAGGATTTCTCGTTTGAGACCAGCTTGAGCAATGCCACAAGACCCTATATTAATGTAAAATAAGGAATAGTAAAATAAAAAAAAAGTTTAGAGCAAAAACTGAATACTTGATGCAAATGGGAGGTTTTAAATTCTTTCAGACAGCACTTTACGTAGGCCAGAGAATGTAGCAAGGATAAGTATTTAAGTTTATAGAGGTTTATCATGAATTAGTTTGATAATTTAAACTGTTTTCATCCTTTTTACAGTATTCCACCATACATATATAAAATGAGACTTCTATGCCTGTATCATATTGGTGTCAATAATGTATATTCAGATAATGATATTTTGTTACAGCGTCTTTATTATCTCAAAAGGGTTCTGAAAGTAAGTACTCAAAACAGAGTTTTTAGACATTAATCATTTTATAATGAAACATCTGGTAGAAGCATTAGTGTTTAAATCTAGTTTATTTGTTTCAATAGCTGTAAATTTTGCCACATTAATATATTTGCTCATTAAAGAGTGTATTGTGTAATTGCCTTTCATGCATGATACATCTGTGCGATTGCTTGTTGCCTTTCCTCTGATGACTTCCTTTTGGGACAGTTTAGTACAGTTTCCCACCTGTAGAGCTTTTATTTTCTCACCTCATGAAGAGAAACAATTTCTACATGGTGATTATCATCTCTACCATTTCTTGGGAGAGACTCCTTTTGACTTCTTTGCTTACCAGGACAGAGTGATCTAAAGCACTCTAAGATCCAGTTGGTGTGTTAAACAATCGCTATAGCAGTGTGCAAACCCTTGTGTTTTTATTCGTAGTCCGATCATCGAAGTCCGTTTCTCCTGCATAACCTTTTTCTGTCACAGTATTAACATGTGGATATATTACAAATATAAGGAAAATGATTGATAGTGTAGTCTTGTGTCCTTTTGTGTGAAATTGTTACGTCTAGCAAAGGTCTTGCTGAGTGATAAAGCTTTTTTTTTTACTAATGAATTAAACACATAGCTGTATAGGACAAAGTTTACTAATATTGTATAAATACCATTGAAGCTAGACATGGTAACATGCTTACAACCCCAAGACTTAAGAAGTAGAAGTTCAGAGTTTACCTTAACTGCCTAGTTTGAGGCCAACCTGGTCTACACATCATTCATATGTGTGTGTGTGGTGTGTATGTATTTTTATCAGGCCTTTAATGGGAAGACCCTGTTGCTTATTTTGGTTTGTATATGGTACATAGTCTATGCTGAGAATATTCTCTTCATCCTCTAGCATATAAGTTCTTTTCCCTTTGATATATATATATATATATATATATATTTTTTTTTT